TGTGTGTGTGTGTGTCTACATAAGTTAATTAAATTAATCCATATATTTTAAAACAATTTATGTATTTTATACAACTAAACAATGTTCTCATAGAATAAAAGTATAAATATCTTAAATTTAATATTCCTGGGTGAAAAGTATATTTCTTTTGTATTTGTATATTTTAAAGATAATTAAATCCTTCAGTCCTTTGCTTTCAAAATTTTCTTTAATTTTATATTTAAAAAATTTAACCTTTAATCTTCAAAATTTTATTTTTGTTTAACATGCTAGCAATTAAATAAAATAAGAAATTAAATGTCACTTTATTCAAAGAACAAGGGAGATGAATTTAAAAACTTGAGAGATAATATAATTTAGTAAGTTCACAAGAGAAGCAAAATTTTCCCATAAATTTAAGGAAGAGTTCCAATATTAGATTCAATGTAATTTAGTATCAACAAGTTAGCAAATAACATAATATAACAGCAGCGTGGCACAGTGCTGCCACAAGGCTTGAAATGTGGAGAATATTTTGTCATGGTAGTTGCAACCATAATGTGTCACTATCTTTCAGAAGTAAAAGCCCCATTTTTATGCTCCCCTCTTAGAAAAATGGACTTTAAGTCTGACACAAGCTTAACCAATTTATAAAGTGAGATTTAGGATCTTCACCACACCCCTCACACCAAGGCCTAAGCATCTGAAGCGTGGAACTATATAATTTTTAGTGGTCCAACAATTACCCAATAGCAAGTGGCACAATAAACTCAACAAATCTCATTAGGATAATTTTTGATACCATCTTAGAAAGTAGCTATTAAGTTTAATTCAATCTCATAAAATCATTTTTTTAATGTAAGGTTTGCATGCATATATATTATAATATTATAATTTGATCATATATCTAATTGATGTTAGATCTTTAACATTCCCCCTCATCCAAAAAAAAAAAACACTGAGCTATCTAGCCTAATAATATTTTGGATGTTTTGTGATTTAACCTCTTTTTACACCAAAAAAATACATAAAGTTTGTCTTAAAACAACTTAAAGTTTGATGACCTCTGTTTGGATTAAAAATAGTAAGTATAACCTCTATTTCATTTGCAACTACAGACCCAAAATATGGTCAACTCAATATACTTTTACAATCTCACTACTTCTAAGTGTTCAGGCATCTCAGGCATCTTTGTTCCATGTTCTGCCTTTCATCGTTCAGTCTCTTTACATTAGGCATCATAAGATTCATAGCTCACACGGGTCTGTTCTTTTTTATGTGTTTTGAGTGGTGTTCTTTTCAAAATTCCCTAATTCGTATGTCTTTATTCTTTTATCCAACTCCCTTACCTTGGTCTCTTTTCACATAATTGATGTGTTTGGTTTTATCTATTAATTCCTTCATTATTTTTGGGTCATTCTCATGTTCTTATTTCTCTTAAAAGTATTGGTCACGTATCGGTAATATTTACTATAGTGGTCATCCTTCTTGCTATCCAACTAAAGCATTTTGGGAGACAGCCACTCCACAGTGGCCAGGTAGATAACTATGGCCTATATAATTATTTTTGTAGGATTTCTATTGTGCAACCAAGTTTAGACTCCATAATCTTAGCAGCCAACTACATTTTTCAGCATCTTAAAATAATTGCAATAGAGAAAGTACACATTAATACATAAAAAATTATCAAATAAATCAGATTTACGTGTACCTCCATTTCTATGACGTGTGTTATCATAGTCTCAGAAGGTTCTAGGCCTTCTCGTAAAAATCTCCCAATAACTTCATCCATGCCCTTTCTCAAGAAAGGGAACCGCTGTAATTCAGTTGCCAAGCAGCGATGGCTGATCTGAAGAGAAGAGATTTTAATTTAGATATGTCTGAACCATATTGAAACAACGAAGCAGAATAGCAAGAGATAAAACCTTACCTTCACTAACTCGTCATATATGAACCTAGCACACTGAAGACTTGGATCCAATAGACGAGATATCTGCCTTCTCACAAGGACTTCAAATGGGACCTAATTACATGGAAATAATAGATGAAGTTTTTTTCAGTTGGCCAAAAAAATTACACATTTGATAGGATAAGAATGTGGGTTCAACTAAGAAAGTATCAGAATTGTGTTTCCGTAAGAGGGTGACAAGACCTACCTCTGGAACAAACAATGCAGATTTAGGTCCAGTTGCATTCTGTATGGCTGTGCGAATATCTTCATCAGTCAAACCTTCACATGGATCCACCTCCTGTAAGGTATCATTTAATTGCATTATAAGACAGGAGCTAGCTTTGAAGAAATGGCTGGAGCCACATAGGTGGTTCCATGGATTCAAAGAGTAAAACATATACTTTTCCTGTTGCCTAAAAAATTTACATATATAAATGTTCTCATGTAAAATTAATTATATTTTTTCACTTACTTGAAATAATTAATTAGATTTCAATTTATATAATTTATAGTTTGCTTAGATGGAATTAGATCATTAAAATAAAATAAAAATGAAGATTTCGTTCAACATTATGCAGTGATCATGTGGAGCCAAACAAAACATTTTGCTTTTAAAAACTATTTCAATCAAATTAGATTTGCTATTTATCAATATTATTTACAATAATAATTTTAAGAAACTTTAAATAAAACGGGGTATATAGAAAAGAAAGGCTATTATATATGTATACCTCTAAGCTTCTCACAAAAATAGATTGAAAAATGTAATGAATTCGTGCACCACCAAAGAGCTCAGATGTAGACATCTTCTCGTTATTTCCCTCTACCATGGAGGAGAATGCTATTTTCAATAAGAAAAATACAAGATGGCATGATCAAATTTGGAAGGTAGTTATAAGTGGAAACCAATGAGCATAAGAAATGGAACTAATTAACAGATGTAAAAGTTGACAAAATAAGAAACCAGATGCAAGGGATAATTAAGTACCATCACAGTATTTTGCAAGAATATTAAGGAGAAGAGCACCCTGTCCAGCCTATAGGAGATCATTCATAGATAAAAAATTAGGTAAATGGCCAGGATGAGTAGAAGCCAATCACTTTTTATAACAAAAAGTTATATACTATTTTAATTTGGTAAGTAATAGGGACACATGCCTTCGACTCTGTGATTTCTCCATAGCTTGCATGTTCCTTCACAAGAGTGACTAGGGAAGCGCTCATACGTGCTCTCAGCCCTGGTAATAATGCCTTGATATGTTGCGCAAGAATCTGCAGGAGAATGATAAGCAAATAGCATAAGACATGCTTAAGTTCAAGAACTGGAACCCTATAACAATTCACAATAATTAAAACTTCCAGCGAGGAATTAAAACTTTTAAATAAGCCAGAATTTGATTCAAGTAAAAGTAATATTAAAAGCTAATTTTTGTTTTCAACATTGCAAATTCTTTACCTTGTTCAATTTCTTTGCCAATTGAGGGACACCACAACTATCTGCCAATCCACTGTATATCTTGAATAGCATAAGTTAAATCAGTATATATAGACGTGACATGTTGAATACTATAAATCAAAGGTAATTCCTTACAGGACGACTGCGGAAAAACTTTTCTTCAGCAACAAGAGCATCCTTTATACTTCGGTTCATTAAAATGTCCTTTTAGAGACGAAAACAAAGAACTAAATTTCAGCCTTGCATGTCAAACAACTGGCCAGTCAACAAATTCACAAGCGCATATTCATCAGCAATGTCTTGGGAGCACAACATCATTACCTCTTGACATCGATTCACAACACCTACATAACCAAGTCGGAGGGGAATAACTTTTCCTAGCAACAGATTTCGCGCATCAGTACCTCTGTCCATGATATCCAACTAGAATCCAACCAACACAACACACCCAAAGTCGTCGGTACTCAGAAACACCACAACAAAATTCACAACCTCATTCATACGTAATACTATACCTTCGTGATGACACCAATTGTCCTGTTCCCTGCAATAAAAGAAAGGCAAACGAAAAAATTTCCAATCACCACCAACAACCAAAGGGACACAAAAATGATCATCACTTTAGGCTCAAGGAACAAAAAGGCCACCATCAGGATCGGCAATCGCCGCCATCTGAAGAGCATCTGAATTAGCCAAATCGGAATTCGCCGGCGTAACCGCGAGAATAAGACAGGTTGGAGTTTTTATATAAGACATGATCATGGTTCTAATTCGAGCCTCAATATCCGAAGGCTGGTCACCGACGGGAACCTTAGTGAGGCCAGGGAGATCCACGAGCGTGATGTCTAGAACATTCGGCGAAAAAATCTTCAAACGAATTTGTTTATCAGAGACACCTTTGTTCCCTCCAGCTTCCCTATCAGTTTCAACCTACTCAAGAAAGGGGAAAAAAAAATACACACACAAATAAAACAATGATACTTGAGTGATACATTCCAGAAAAATCAAATTCGAATACAATTGGAATTCGAAGTGAACCTGAATTTCGGAGCGAATTTGGGAGAAATTGTGGAACTTGCGGCCAGGCAAGTGGAGGAACTCGCCAAACTCGTCCTGAGAGGGTTTGATTTGGACGAGTTGGAGAACGAGGGGGCGGCGCGTGCAGATGTCATTGCCACGTGGGAGGAAGTCGCGGCCGACGAGGGCTTCGAGGACACTGGACTTGCCGCTGCTTTGGCTGCCGACAACGGCCACCAGAGGGAGGTCGATGGAGGAGTGGCTCCCTACGCGGCTGAAGATGTCCTGGAGCCGGTTCACCAGAGAGATCACCGACGAACCCAGAGGAGCGGCGGCAGCGCCTACCGCCATCGCCAGATAGATTTCCGATATTGGAATACTGATCAATGAACAAACTAACCGTATTCGTGAGAGGGAAGCAATGAGTTGTGAACGGTGTTTGAATATGAGAGGGGATTTTCTTGCGAATCAAGGTGACGCCTGGGAAATCATAAGTTTATAATTCCCAATTCATTATATAATAATATTATGTGGATTTGGTATCCACAATTTCTTCAAATTGTACACTTTAACTAACCATTTATTTAATTTAACCATTTTTTATTTAATTGTTAAATTAAATTTAAGTGTTTTTATTTAACTATTAGGTTACTTTATTTGATACATTGTCTTTTTGAAGTCTAACATTTCATCACGATTTTATTCTTAAAAACATTAGTGAAAAAAGAAGAAAGTATTTAAATTTTCTTTAGTTTCAACTTTTAAGTCATGTAGGATTATTGAGTATATTAGAACATGCCTCCAAGTCAAGCATAAGAAAAGTTTTCGTATGCTAAAATGAAGGATAAAATTGAGGAGTTTATCTAAGCAGAACATTTTAAACGTTTTGTTTGGAGAAATAAGGGTGGAAGTTCTCAAAATGAACCAAGATGATTCGATGACAGAAGAGATGGTCATTGGGACCACCATTGAGATGATAGGACCAGACAAACGCCGATAATATAAGAGGAAAGACGTAAAACCAAGACTATCGCTGAGAGGGGAAATCAATACATTCTTTAGATGATTCATGAGAGGAAGATCTTTGGCTTCAACCTGGAAAAGGCACATAAGGGCAATACAATTGGTTAACATCGTCAACGGATCGTCAACAAAGGTTGTCTCCTATTTCCTTCACCAATGTAGACTTCGAGGCCATATATTTGAAGCAAGATGGCCCCATGGTTATAACGGATGAAATCGAGAACTTCATAGTCAAGAAAACATTGGTTAACCAAGAAAGTTTAGTTGATATCTTATATTGTAAGACATTTAAGAAGTTGGATCCATTATTGGTTTTTATTTTTTATAACAAGTGAAGATACCACCAGTTTATGAGAAAGACATCATGTTTAATGGCATAGGACCAAAAGTTATTTGGAATCTCATATTGGAACATAAGGGCACAAACAACATTAAGAATATTTTGGTATTTACATTCAACTTTACCATTTTGTTGAGGTGTGTAAGGACAACTTGTTTGGTGAATCATACCTTTAAAGGCGTAAAAAAATTTCAAAGAAAATTTGGCATCAATGCTAGAATGAAGAATTTTTACTTTTGAGTCAAATTGTTTTTCAACTAAGGCAATGAAATTTGGAACATTAATTTGAACTTCCACTTTTATTTTTAACAAAACAACCAGGGTAAATCTACTAAAATTGTCAACAATGGTAAGAAAATACTTATGATCATGAATGGAAACTTTAGAGAATAGACCCAAATATCCATGTGAATGAGATTGAATATTTTTGAAGCTCTACTATCACTAATAAAATAAGACAAATTCTATTTTTAGCTAAGTGACAAACATCACATGATTCATTAGTATATTTTTAAACAAAAGGAAATTGATTGTGTAAAACTGAGTCTTTTTTCTAACAAGTGTCCCAAGCGAAAATGCCAAAGGTTTTTGTTGATGATGGTAGAAAGGAAAAGGTGGTTGACAGACGAGGAGTGACACTAACATTGGCTTAGGTGACTAGGTGATAAAAACCTTGTTATAACTTAGCCAAACCAACCATCTTCATTGTGCTCACTTCCCTGTGTTTGGCATAGAAAGCATGAAAATGTTAATTTATGATTATGAATTGAAAGAAATTTTGAGATGGAAAAAAAATATTAAAATTAAAATTTGTGACATAAAACACATTGTAAATAATGAAATCGAGAGCTAAATGGACAATGCAAGAATAATGGGAAGTGACTACATATTTATTCGGTAAATGAATACTAATAGACTTTATTTTAGAAAATACTTGAAATTTTTAAGAAAGCAACTAATATGGTCAGTTGCTCCTCCATCCACAATCCAAGAGGAAGAATCATTTAATGAATTTAAAGAGAAAACATGATATATTTGTGATGTGACACTAGAAAAAATAAAAGACATGTTACCATTTGGCCTAGAAAAATTGCTTAGGCCTTGTTGGATGACGTTAGCTCGAGTGAGAGGTTGAGAATCATTACTATTGGTAGGATGCTTGTTATAATAGAGATAATAAATGTTGATATTGGGCTTGAGTAAAATTTAAAGTTGATTTATGTTGTTGTGGTCCATAATGTTGTGACAAAGATATCTCATTAGAGTCACTCCCTCCACCACCACACACTACTTCCTGCATCTCCCCATTCTTCTTTTGTCCTTCAGTAATACATAAATGGATATGAATATGCGTTGGATTCTTAAACGGATGTCAACATCTGTGCACGAATATAGTCATCCGTCGAACGAGAAACGGATGTCGATATCCGTCCTTCAAACTTCCCTCCCCAAGCATTAACACTAATTATCTTTCTTGAGGCTAGTTTTCATGGAGTTTTCAAGATTTTCACGTCTCTCAGTTCTTGCACGAGAAGTCAACAAAGTGGCTTTCTGCGAGAAATCAATGTTTAGTCCAATACTGAAGAGATAACATCTAGTTGTTGTTGTTGTTGCTACCCTTCATGTATGTTATGGTCATGAGTTGAAGCAATATGTGAAGAGTGTTACGGAGTTGACTCCTGATACTGTACAAACGTTGATGGCTGTTGATAAATTGGAGAAAGATCTAGTACATATAGCAGTGGAAGAGTCAGTTAAAAGTGACGATGGTGGGAAATTCGTTATAAGGAATATGTGTCCTTTTGAGGCTGAAGCTGTAATTATCAACCTGGCCAAGTCATGGATCAAGAACAAATTGGATACACTAGAAGAGGAATCAGGAACAAAGTGAATAGAAATCTACAAGAAGAGGTTGGTTGCTCGCAATCTAATCAATCTACAAGAAGAGAATTTTTTTTTTGTAAGTACCAGATAACATGCAAACTAAAGATGGAACAAATTAGCAAATTAAAAAATCGGCTTACTCATTTTATTCTTTTTGCTGTAGGTGTGGATTCCTGGTACAAATAAAGAATGCTTTGCTCCTTCCGCTCTTGAAATTCTAGGAATCATAGATGACTCCCTGGAAGCGTTCTTTGTATTGCCAATAATACCCATGCATGCAGTTTTGCTTCATGAATTCATGTTTGCTCTTGACAAATCTCTCCAACAATAAATTTTGAAGGCGAAAGCTAGTTATGGTATATATTTACTGCATATCATTTTATAATCGTATATCCAAACAGTTTCTCACCAACACATATTCAAATCATTTTAAATATTGTTAAAGGGCAAAATAGGAATGTGGAGGTGCAGGAAATAATGTGTGGTGGTGGAGGGGGTAACTCTCGTCTCATTGTCATTGGTGATGGTGTAATTAACCGAAGAGAAACCAGAAGAAGAACCACTTTGATAAATTGTAGTTAACTGAAGAGGAATAAGTTTAGGAATAGACTTAATAACCTCAAACAAAAGATCTTGATCTCTCACAATGGTATTGATTGAGTGTACCTCATAATCTTATGATGAAGTGATTTAATTGTCAAATTAAATATTATTCAAATGTTTAGAAAACGTTTATTTAGATTTTTCTTTCAAAATTTTAATAAAAAAACTAGTAATTCTATATATCTTCTATATTAGAACTAAGATTAAGTTTATTAATTTTTTTAAACCTACAATATTTAATGTGGCATGAATTCTTATAATTATAACAAATAATTGATTTGTTTTTCTTATCTTCTACATCTATTTGTATTTTAATATTGTGCATACCTATCCGAAACATATCCAAAAACACGGTTTTTTATGGAGTACTCGTTCTTTTCAAATATAAGGGTTTTATTAACTTAAATAAAATATATATATAGTAATAAATTATTAAAAATAAAAAAGAAAGAAAAATATATGTATATGAGTTGCATTTCTTATTTATTGAAATTTACTTATAATTATGTTGTTATTTACAAAATTTAACTTAGAAAAACATAGAATTAAATAAGTTTGGATACTTTCACAACATAACTCATTAGATTAGTATCTTCAAAATTAGTACTAAGAATAACATCTAATAAATAGGTTAAGGCAACCATTAAATTTGTGTAATGTAAAGGACATTCCGAACAAACATCAAAAGTAGAAATTGAACAAGACATGTATTTCTGAAGTTCAAATGGGTGAATACTCCCAATCAAATAACAATGTATAAATTACGAATTTCATCATTAAATATGAGATAGTGAGACTTTAAAGAATCAAATATTTATTTTAGTCCCTAAAAATACACTCTATTGTTAAATTACTTTGGTTTTAAAATAAATTTTTAATGATCAATTTGATAGAAAATTAAGAACTATTTTTTATTAAATTATGATATAAAAGTGATCTTATTGGGTTTGAGCTTCTTATACTCGGTAAGATTTGAGAACCTCGTATGGGTCGATTGTTCAGATGTATGAAAAGAACCCGTAAAAAAATATTTGATACTCAAGTCAATAAAAATATAAGGATAAAAAATGTGATTAGTGTTACTATGGGCTTACTGGTTACCGATCGGTCTCAGACTACCGATCGGTCTTGACTAGCTTCTTAGCCGGACGGTCTCGACAACTGTTGAACAGATTTAATGTATAAATAAATGTGGTAACGACTACCGTTAGACAGTTAAGGTTTGCATTAATGGTCATTAAGAGGTAAATTAATTAGTCAGATTCTTTTAAATTCTATAAATAACGGTTTAGATTTGAGGTAAAAACAAGTTCAACTCATACTGCGCCATATTTACGTTTGATTAAGACTTAAATATTTAACTGTAATAAACAGTTCATAAAACCGCTTCTAATTTGAGCATCGGAGTACCTTTTGCAGGTACTTCCCCCCTTTTGCACGAGGGTGACCGAGCGGTCAAAACTGAAGTTCACCGAGCGGTCAATATGGAAGAGGACCGATCGGTCTAAACTGGAAGCATACAAGCGGAGCACACAAGTCAAAGAGTGTCTCGGTCTCACAAAATTTCTACCGAAACATTTTGGTGCCCACCATGGGGCCGAGGCTTGAAGACACCCAATGGTGACCACGAGAAATATGGAAGAGCAGAGCACCAAAGATTTAATCAAAGAGTTACAAGCCTAGATTAAGGCATAGGCGCAAACCATACAAGCGTAGGCGCATGCACAACAAGAGATGCAGCGGAGGCATACAAAGGAGATTGCGGCGCTAAGGGCCGAACAAGTCCCTCCCGAGCGGTCCGCCTCAAATCGGGAGAATGACAGCAAAGCAAGCCATAATCACACTAACCCGAACGGTCGAGGTAGAAGGGAACCAACACCCCTGCATACCGTTCGGCCTACCAGTTTACTTCCCTTTACAGCGACCATCATACAAACTCCAATGCAAGAAAAAACTCCACCCGCATTGAATAAGTATGATGGTTCAACCGATCCGGACAATCACCTAAGGACGTTTGGTAATGCAATGACATTCTATACAAATAGCGACCCGATCATGTGCAGAGCCTTCTCATTATCACTCAAGGAAGAGGCATTGGAATGGTATAACATTCTTCCTCCCAACACAGTGGATTGCTTCGCCATTATGGATTGCTTCGCCACTGTGGAAACCCTCTTTAGAAGGCAATATGCCTCTAATCGGAAACAGGAGATAACACCGACGAAATTGGTAAATACTAAGCAGGAGAAAGGGGAAACTTTGAACGCCTTTATGAAAAGATATATTAAAACCGCACGATGAGTTAAAGAGGTCAATCACTCTTTTATCATCAACAATTTGCCTTCATGTCTGAGACCACGATATTTTGCGGAAAAATTGTATGTGCGACCACCAAAAACTATGGAAGAGCTCCAAGAAAGAGCAGCTGAGTTCATCCGTATGGAGGAAATGCGAATCTCGCAAAGAAAGCGACAACAAGAAGTTGATGTAGGCGGAGGCAAAAAGGACGACAAACGACTGTTCGACATTAATGATAAAAGTGGGGAACTTCCCCGAACATTTAAGTTTAACCATTATACAACCCTCAACGCACCTAGGGCAAAAGTTCTCGAAGAAGCCCTCAACGCAGAACTTCTCGCATCCCGAAGGAAACCATCTCCAAAAAATGCAGACGAAAGGAAGAGCTGCCGTTTCCATCATAACCATGAACATACTATAGAAGAATGCATTACGCTAAAAAATGAAATAGAAAGTCTTGTTCAGGTGGGACATCTCCGTAGGTATGTAAAGGAAGCAAGAAGCCTCCCCCAAGGAGGGATATTTGCGAAGAAGCCCCGAACGGGCGTATAGGAAGGATGAGCGGGAGCGGGGCTATAGTCGAAGTCCTGATTGTCTTCGGGAACGATTGGTTCATTGATTTATCAACTGAGGAGAAGCATAAAAAACTATATTAATGTCATGTTTAAATTCAGTTTCATTTGATTTAGACTCTTGTTCTTGTCTTAAGCTTTCATTATGGAATAAAATAAGCTCAGTAATTCATGCTCAGTCACTGGTTGCTAACTTTGTTAAAGTTCATATTCAACGAAGAAGTCTCTCAAGAAGAGTATGAAGTTAAAGACCGAGCGATAAATCCCTCTCGGCCGAAAGGTAAACTCCTCTCGTTGAAGTTAAAGACCGAGCGTAAATCCCTCTCGACCGAGAGGTAAACTCCTCTCGTTGCAGTTAAAGACCGAGCGGTAAATCCCTCTCGGCTGAGAGGTAAACTCCTCTCGTGGAAGTTAAAAACCAAGCGGTAAGTCCTCTCGGCCGAGAGGTAAATCCCTCTCGTCAGCCAAAAAGCTGAAGTTAAAGACCGAGCGGTAAATCCCTCTCGGCCGAGAGGTAAACTCCTCTCGTGGAAGTTAAAGACCGAGCGGTAAATCCCGCTCGGCCGAGAGGTAAACTCCTCTCGTCGAAGTTAAAGACCGAGCGGTAAATCCCGCTCGGTCGAGAGGTAAATTCCTCTCGTCGAAGTTAAAGACCAAGCGGTAAATCCCGCTCGGCCGAGAGGTAAACTCCTCTCGTTGAAGTTAAAGATTGAGCTGTAAATCCTGCTAAACCGAGAGGTAAACTCCTTTCGTCGAAGTTGAAGACCGAGCGGTAGAGGTAAACTCCTCTCGTTGAAGTTAAAGATCGAGCTGTAAATCCCGCTCGACTGAGAGGTAAACTTCTTTCGTCGAAGTTGAAGACCGAGCGGTAGAGGTAAACTCCTCTCGTTGAAGTTAAAGATCGAGCTGTAAATCCCGCTTGGCCGAAAGGTAAACTCCTCTCGTCGAAGTTGAAGACCGAGCAGTAAATCCCGCTCAGCCGAGAGGTAAACTCCTTTCATTGAAGTTAAAGATCGAGCTGTAAATCCCGCTCGGCCGAGAGGTAAATTCCTCTTGCTGAAGTTGAAGACCGAGCGGTAAATCCCGCTTGGCGGAGAGGTAAACTCCTCTCGTTGAAGTTAAAGATTGAGCTGTAAATCCCGCTCGGCCGAGAGATAAATGCTTCTCGCTGAAGTTGAAGATCGAGCAGTAAATCCCGCTCGGCCGAGAGGTAAATGCCTCTCACTGAAGTTGAAGACTGAGTGGTGAATCACGCTCGGTGGAGAGGTAAACTCCTCTCGTTGAAGTCTAAGACCGAGCGGTAAATCCCGCTCGGCCGAGAGGTAAACCCCTCGAGTTAACCAGGAAGCCCTGGTAACAAGGACTAAATCTCAAGTATGCAGTCAGTCGGGTGTATAATACGGATGACAAGATTCAATACCTGAAATCGTTTGGTCCAAATAAGATATAACGACTTGAAGCACATGGAGAGCAAGCTCCTCAATACAACGAGAACAACCTCCTTCAAACCCATAAGTCCTATAGTTAACCATTCGACTAAAGCTGAACGGTTAACTCTGACTTGGGGAGCTTATGTTACTATGGGCTTACAGACTACCGATCGGTCTTAGGCTACCGCTCGATCTCGACCAGCTTCTCAGCCGGATGATCTCGACAAGTGTTGAGCAAATTTAATGCACAAATAAATGTGGCAACGACTACCGTTAGGCAGTTAAGGTTTGTATTAATGACCATTAAGAGATAAATTAACTGGTCAGATTCTTTTAAACTCTATAAGTAAGGGTTTAGGTTTGAGGTAAAAACAGATTCACTTAAATATGTTTTCAACTTCTATAATAAGTGAATAATTTGTTCATTTCTTGTCATTTTTTCAAAAGTCAATTAAAAAATAAGTAAATATTACAAAAACTAAACACAAAAATGAATACATTAGTGAGATTAAAACAAAAGCAAGAACCAAAATGTAAAATGAAATTGTATAAAAACCAGTTAAACCAAAAGACCTTTTAACAGTTATTATCTTAGAATAATCAAGTTGCTTAAAGTAACTAAAATGATGCAATACCATGAAGCGTACAACCAAAAATAAATCTTAAAAATTCATGAAACTTGCTTGGATGAAATTGCCAGAAGATTCTTTCCTTTTTTATTATTTATTTAGCATTGTTTGGCTTTTTCTCAATTTTTATTTGCTCATTTCATGTGGACAAACGTAATGAGGTATGCATCTTTTGTGTAAGTAAGAATTTGTTGAATGCTCATCTTCTGTCTCGCATCTAATTATAAGTTTGGCTGAGTTACCACAAAATAAGACAAAATCAAAGTTGAATACCGCAGAAGGTAAAAAAAAACCGAACTATTCACATTATATATAAATCAAATCTGGTCCCAAAGGGATGTACAGGAACTCATGTATGAAAACTGTAAGTCTACAATCATATAATTCACAGTGCTTCCAGAAATAGTTTGTCTATAAAACATAAACTATTCCTAGAAGTCCAATGTTAGTTGAACCAGCAGTGTATATGCGTTTCCATTGGGAACAAACCTGCTGATTGCGCAAAGAAACAGCTCTAGATCACAACCAATATGTTCTCATGTTGGAATCATCAATATCAACCTGTATGTATCATGAACTTTAGTAAAGTAAATATAGATAAAGGGTAGTGGAAGGATCGGATGGCACAGCTCCTATATATTTCAGGAATAGTGACAAATCAATCAGTTGTGACATATATAAATACCTGTTCATCAAAACCAGCGGGAATCTCAAACTCGGTCCCTGAAGCATCAGCAAGATCCTCAAGAGTATCCTGTAAATCTCAAAAGTATATCATATCAATTGTCGAAGGAATTCCTATCACCTCAACCCTTTTCACTTAACCATCTCAAGGATACCTCTTGGTTGATTGAGGAAAGAAAAAGGAATACCTGCTCATGCAGACTAAGAGCATGATTCTCCACTTGGATGGACAAGTTGTCAGTAACTGATTCAGCAGTTCCGATAAGAAACTGCAAACCCACAAAATTAAATTGAAGGACAATATTCAAAAGTTGAAAAGCTTTTAAGGTATATTCTTAATATACACCCTGAGTTCCAAAATCAAAATGCCATACAAGCTACTATGAACAAACCAAAGGACTATGACAACAAGTATCATTATCCACACCAGACCTAAAACACAATTTTAGTAGGGAGTCAACTAACAGTTAATTAAATTGTCAATTTTTGCATAATCTATTCAATGAAAGTAAACTGCATAATCTGATATAAGCAAATAGAATTTCTTCATCATATATTGAGCAAAATTAAGTTCCATTAAATTGCATCGAAAAATGTAAATAAATTAACTAATTCGAACAGAAATAGATAAAACCTGCTCATTTGTCTTCTCAGGTGACCGTCTGGAATCCATTTGCACAGGCTTTGTTTCCTCAGGGCTTCCCTGATAAATTAAAAAATAAAAATTACAAATCCATAGCCAAGGAAACAGTGTCAGCATGAGGATCAGTGTTCCATCATGCAAACAGTACTCAAAAGTCAACTCATTGATAATAATCAGCATCAGCAAGCACAACTTTGAAAAAAAAGTGAATGGACCCTCAGAAAACAATAAACTGATATTAAAAAACGAAGAGTTTTCATGCAGTTTTATAACCCTTGTCAAAGTTTGGTAAACAAGGAAGGAGACTACCATTGCCGCAAGAACAAAAAGGTTAAAGAAACAGTTATACATGAACAAAATAAAGTTTTTATTAATTTGCTAAGAAAATTCTAACATTAGTACCTCTTTGTCTTGCTTGGCACAAGAATGTTCTGCTTCTGCTTTTGAAGGCTTTATATCAGCTGAAGTATCCTTAAAATAAAGAGAATATTGTTAGACTTGAAATTTCAAACATCTTTTGAGCAAAGATCATATCAGAAATTAAAAATTGGAGACCACTGGGAGCAAAATTACAGAATAAAGTATTTCTTCAGATTTCGAGCAAGTAGACCTAACAAAAAAGGTTAAGGAATAGACACAAGCTATATCTTCATAGTATTTATTGTTGAAAAATGTTGACTGCTATGCCAAAATTTTCATATTGTCATCTCCTAACACCTTATCTAGTCATATTTCATCAACAATAATTTCTGAAAACAGTTTAATCATAATAAGAATGCTTATATCTTTTACATATTATACAACAGACCAACTAATAACAAATATTTACTTTTGTTATCATGTAATTATGTGTGAAGAGAGTCTCTCCTCTAAACTGTGTCCTAGCCATAAGTAACAGAGCAAGTTTGTCAAACCCCTTCACATCCTTAGTTAATACATATTTCCATTTGGATCGTCTCATGTGTGGCCATCTTATGACCAAGCCATTTTATGAGACAAAAGGCAATGCCTGTTGTAGTGGTCCCAAAATCATTTTCAGCACAGGACAGTTTGTATACCTTTCTTATCATATAACAGGGTCATGTAAGTGCCCAAGAGGATCCAGATCCATCCTGCTTTTCACACAAACAGATCTAGATGTTTTTAAAAGTGTGATGTAGACAATGCCTTAGATGAATTTGTCTATCCGTTTTGACATAAAGCATGAAGATACATATTTAAATCTTGGTTAATTACAATAGGAGAAGGTATGACAATGGAAGAAAAGAAATTGTTGCATGAGAATAAAAAAATTAAAAATACCAGGTCATTTTGTTCAAAAGCAATCCTTCCTGCTTTGGTGAGATCTCTCAGAGTTCCCTTCAAATCAATAAGGCATGAAAATTAAGATCAGTATTTGGGTAGATGGAAACGTGAACTTGTTCAGTTGATACTTGGTAATAAACTATCTTCTCATGGCCACAACAATCCAGACATGCAAAATAACCATCTTTCACAAAATTCTAGGACTATGATTAACAATGAGTTGATAACTGCAATAGATAAGATGCTGACTAGACAGAAAATTGTTATTCTTGCTGAAACAGAAAGACAGAACATCCTATGAATAAATAATCTTCAGGATGACACAAAATCCTTGTTTTCAAATTATAAGTCAAACAGTTATCACTTGTCGGAGATGCCAAAAGGTCACATTCAGAATGACTCAAGTCACTAAAGATGAAAGTCTAGGCAATAAGAGCAGACAAAAGGTTAAAAAGAAATCTTAAAAAAATATAGGTTTACTAAAATTTGATGACATTCTAGTCAACAAAAGCTACAGTGTTTAAGGCACGGCCATCAGTTAGTCTAAAATAAAGTTACAAAAGGGAGACCAACATGTCATATCTGATTCTGGAAAGCAACACTTGCAACAATCAATAACAAGAAACTAAGTCCCACGCTAAGCTAAAAGAGATATTAATTACTTTATTGGCCCACATAAGCCCACAGGCATTGCATAGAGATCTTGGACCTGCAGGTCCTCGACGCATAGCTGGAGTAGACTTCTCACTAATTCCACAATGCTGGCATCTACGTTCACTTAACAATGACAGATGCAACACAAAAATAATCATATTAGAACCAATCCATAAAAGATGAAGAATAAAAGTTATTGCATCCATCCGACTCAAACAAAAGGAATAACTTTGAAACTCACGTAGATTCTGGCCCAGGAATAGCATTGCTTGAATCCCAGTTTTCAGCATGAGATTTGTAGTCTTCCTTCAGTGATGCAAATTGTCCATTCTTACGATGCATCCTATTAAATAACCAAGTATTGTCAATCCCAAGAAAACCAGCTTATACCATCTAGAGGAAAAACAAAGCATAAACGTATTAGGGTCAAAACTAAAATTCCCATTCTTATTCTGAAAGCTAATGCTTTTACAAGATAGAAACACAATACTAAAATACCAATCACCAATGCAGACTTCAAACACCATAAATGCTTCCATAAGAAACAGGGGTACAGGCATGAGGGGGATGTTACTTGTTAAGCACAGATGTGAGCCAAGTATTCACTCAATACCAAGTCAGCTCACAATTTTTGTTTAACCAAAAATAGTCTTAACAAATAGAGTAACTACAAGTAAACTTATACTTTCTTCAACTTCTAAGGTTGTCAGAAGCTAATTTTATAAATTGAATTATTAATAGGATTTTATGAATAGAGTGAAGCCTTGCATACTCACATTATTGGCTTTGAAACTTCACTTGAAATTTTTAATTCATCTTCTTAATAAAAGGGATTCAAAATTAGTAGCCAACAATAATGTTAAGATCAAAGGAAAGATAAAAATGACCCTGAGGGGCTCATTGACATCAAAATGAACTAAATTATATGACATAAAAATCACCAGGGAGAGATAAGTGTATCTTCTAAAATAAAAAATGATAATTCAATTTAAGCACTTTTCATGGTAGAGGAGAGTAATTCACAGCAATAATAAGCATTTCTTTCTCAACACTTTATAAATGTCTGTACAGAAATTCATAATATAAAATGAAAAACTATGATACAGGAGTGTAAATAATTTTGGGAAAAAACAAAATATGTTCAGAGCTTCTACTTTCCAACTACCCTATCCCTACCTCTGGGCAACCTCTTTACGACATGTGTATCGTATTTTCTTCTCAAAACATCTCTCTTTTCGTTTTTCACGAAACCTAACTAGTGAGGCAATTCTTCGGGAAAGCTTTGAACATCGGGAAGGATCATTTATTTCCTGACATAATAACAAGATTTAAAACACTTATTAGGAACACTAAGAGAAAAATGTTTCAAAAGGAAAAGCAATTTCTGAAGATATACCCTAATATCCTGACTGTTCTGCTGCAACAAAAAGTCCGGGGTGGGGACAGTATTTGGTGTTTCCTGCCCTCCCAGAAGTAATAATACAGCCTGCACCTATATTTCATTTCATACAAATAAAGGCATTATCAATCTTCAAAAATTGTCCAACCATTTTATAGAAGTGGTGTAAATATGCCACAATAGAGCACAATTAATTGGGAGCCACATCCAATCCAATTGAATAATTTATCAGGGAACAAGTAATCACTCATGACCATCTAAAAAATTTGAAATCCACATTAAAGTTGGAGCATAGGGGTCATTCAAATATAAGAAAATCATCAGGTTTTGTAATCATGCAACTAAAACCAATCACAGTGCCAATAGAATACTGAGAGGAGAAGCCAGGCATCAAGGGGAGCAACACTTTAATGAGCACAAATGAACAAAGGGTGAACGAGAAAATTAAAANAAGGTAAACTCCTCTCGTCGAAGTTGAAGACCGAGCAGTAAATCCCGCTCAGCCGAGAGGTAAACTCCTTTCATTGAAGTTAAAGATCGAGCTGTAAATCCCGCTCGGCCGAGAGGTAAATTCCTCTTGCTGAAGTTGAAGACCGAGCGGTAAATCCCGCTTGGCGGAGAGGTAAACTCCTCTCGTTGAAGTTAAAGATTGAGCTGTAAATCCCGCTCGGCCGAGAGATAAATGCTTCTCGCTGAAGTTGAAGATCGAGCAGTAAATCCCGCTCGGCCGAGAGGTAAATGCCTCTCACTGAAGTTGAAGACTGAGTGGTGAATCACGCTCGGTGGAGAGGTAAACTCCTCTCGTTGAAGTCTAAGACCGAGCGGTAAATCCCGCTCGGCCGAGAGGTAAACCCCTCGAGTTAACCAGGAAGCCCTGGTAACAAGGACTAAATCTCAAGTATGCAGTCAGTCGGGTGTATAATACGGATGACAAGATTCAATACCTGAAATCGTTTGGTCCAAATAAGATATAACGACTTGAAGCACATGGAGAGCAAGCTCCTCAATACAACGAGAACAACCTCCTTCAAACCCATAAGTCCTATAGTTAACCATTCGACTAAAGCTGAACGGTTAACTCTGACTTGGGGAGCTTATGTTACTATGGGCTTACAGACTACCGATCGGTCTTAGGCTACCGCTCGATCTCGACCAGCTTCTCAGCCGGATGATCTCGACAAGTGTTGAGCAAATTTAATGCACAAATAAATGTGGCAACGACTACCGTTAGGCAGTTAAGGTTTGTATTAATGACCATTAAGAGATAAATTAACTGGTCAGATTCTTTTAAACTCTATAAGTAAGGGTTTAGGTTTGAGGTAAAAACAGATTCACTTAAATATGTTTTCAACTTCTATAATAAGTGAATAATTTGTTCATTTCTTGTCATTTTTTCAAAAGTCAATTAAAAAATAAGTAAATATTACAAAAACTAAACACAAAAATGAATACATTAGTGAGATTAAAACAAAAGCAAGAACCAAAATGTAAAATGAAATTGTATAAAAACCAGTTAAACCAAAAGACCTTTTAACAGTTATTATCTTAGAATAATCAAGTTGCTTAAAGTAACTAAAATGATGCAATACCATGAAGCGTACAACCAAAAATAAATCTTAAAAATTCATGAAACTTGCTTGGATGAAATTGCCAGAAGATTCTTTCCTTTTTTATTATTTATTTAGCATTGTTTGGCTTTTTCTCAATTTTTATTTGCTCATTTCATGTGGACAAACGTAATGAGGTATGCATCTTTTGTGTAAGTAAGAATTTGTTGAATGCTCATCTTCTGTCTCGCATCTAATTATAAGTTTGGCTGAGTTACCACAAAATAAGACAAAATCAAAGTTGAATACCGCAGAAGGTAAAAAAAAACCGAACTATTCACATTATATATAAATCAAATCTGGTCCCAAAGGGATGTACAGGAACTCATGTATGAAAACTGTAAGTCTACAATCATATAATTCACAGTGCTTCCAGAAATAGTTTGTCTATAAAACATAAACTATTCCTAGAAGTCCAATGTTAGTTGAACCAGCAGTGTATATGCGTTTCCATTGGGAACAAACCTGCTGATTGCGCAAAGAAACAGCTCTAGATCACAACCAATATGTTCTCATGTTGGAATCATCAATATCAACCTGTATGTATCATGAACTTTAGTAAAGTAAATATAGATAAAGGGTAGTGGAAGGATCGGATGGCACAGCTCCTATATATTTCAGGAATAGTGACAAATCAATCAGTTGTGACATATATAAATACCTGTTCATCAAAACCAGCGGGAATCTCAAACTCGGTCCCTGAAGCATCAGCAAGATCCTCAAGAGTATCCTGTAAATCTCAAAAGTATATCATATCAATTGTCGAAGGAATTCCTATCACCTCAACCCTTTTCACTTAACCATCTCAAGGATACCTCTTGGTTGATTGAGGAAAGAAAAAGGAATACCTGCTCATGCAGACTAAGAGCATGATTCTCCACTTGGATGGACAAGTTGTCAGTAACTGATTCAGCAGTTCCGATAAGAAACTGCAAACCCACAAAATTAAATTGAAGGACAATATTCAAAAGTTGAAAAGCTTTTAAGGTATATTCTTAATATACACCCTGAGTTCCAAAATCAAAATGCCATACAAGCTACTATGAACAAACCAAAGGACTATGACAACAAGTATCATTATCCACACCAGACCTAAAACACAATTTTAGTAGGGAGTCAACTAACAGTTAATTAAATTGTCAATTTTTGCATAATCTATTCAATGAAAGTAAACTGCATAATCTGATATAAGCAAATAGAATTTCTTCATCATATATTGAGCAAAATTAAGTTCCATTAAATTGCATCGAAAAATGTAAATAAATTAACTAATTCGAACAGAAATAGATAAAACCTGCTCATTTGTCTTCTCAGGTGACCGTCTGGAATCCATTTGCACAGGCTTTGTTTCCTCAGGGCTTCCCTGATAAATTAAAAAATAAAAATTACAAATCCATAGCCAAGGAAACAGTGTCAGCATGAGGATCAGTGTTCCATCATGCAAACAGTACTCAAAAGTCAACTCATTGATAATAATCAGCATCAGCAAGCACAACTTTGAAAAAAAAGTGAATGGACCCTCAGAAAACAATAAACTGATATTAAAAAACGAAGAGTTTTCATGCAGTTTTATAACCCTTGTCAAAGTTTGGTAAACAAGGAAGGAGACTACCATTGCCGCAAGAACAAAAAGGTTAAAGAAACAGTTATACATGAACAAAATAAAGTTTTTATTAATTTGCTAAGAAAATTCTAACATTAGTACCTCTTTGTCTTGCTTGGCACAAGAATGTTCTGCTTCTGCTTTTGAAGGCTTTATATCAGCTGAAGTATCCTTAAAATAAAGAGAATATTGTTAGACTTGAAATTTCAAACATCTTTTGAGCAAAGATCATATCAGAAATTAAAAATTGGAGACCACTGGGAGCAAAATTACAGAATAAAGTATTTCTTCAGATTTCGAGCAAGTAGACCTAACAAAAAAGGTTAAGGAATAGACACAAGCTATATCTTCATAGTATTTATTGTTGAAAAATGTTGACTGCTATGCCAAAATTTTCATATTGTCATCTCCTAACACCTTATCTAGTCATATTTCATCAACAATAATTTCTGAAAACAGTTTAATCATAATAAGAATGCTTATATCTTTTACATATTATACAACAGACCAACTAATAACAAATATTTACTTTTGTTATCATGTAATTATGTGTGAAGAGAGTCTCTCCTCTAAACTGTGTCCTAGCCATAAGTAACAGAGCAAGTTTGTCAAACCCCTTCACATCCTTAGTTAATACATATTTCCATTTGGATCGTCTCATGTGTGGCCATCTTATGACCAAGCCATTTTATGAGACAAAAGGCAATGCCTGTTGTAGTGGTCCCAAAATCATTTTCAGCACAGGACAGTTTGTATACCTTTCTTATCATATAACAGGGTCATGTAAGTGCCCAAGAGGATCCAGATCCATCCTGCTTTTCACACAAACAGATCTAGATGTTTTTAAAAGTGTGATGTAGACAATGCCTTAGATGAATTTGTCTATCCGTTTTGACATAAAGCATGAAGATACATATTTAAATCTTGGTTAATTACAATAGGAGAAGGTATGACAATGGAAGAAAAGAAATTGTTGCATGAGAATAAAAAAATTAAAAATACCAGGTCATTTTGTTCAAAAGCAATCCTTCCTGCTTTGGTGAGATCTCTCAGAGTTCCCTTCAAATCAATAAGGCATGAAAATTAAGATCAGTATTTGGGTAGATGGAAACGTGAACTTGTTCAGTTGATACTTGGTAATAAACTATCTTCTCATGGCCACAACAATCCAGACATGCAAAATAACCATCTTTCACAAAATTCTAGGACTATGATTAACAATGAGTTGATAACTGCAATAGATAAGATGCTGACTAGACAGAAAATTGTTATTCTTGCTGAAACAGAAAGACAGAACATCCTATGAATAAATAATCTTCAGGATGACACAAAATCCTTGTTTTCAAATTATAAGTCAAACAGTTATCACTTGTCGGAGATGCCAAAAGGTCACATTCAGAATGACTCAAGTCACTAAAGATGAAAGTCTAGGCAATAAGAGCAGACAAAAGGTTAAAAAGAAATCTTAAAAAAATATAGGTTTACTAAAATTTGATGACATTCTAGTCAACAAAAGCTACAGTGTTTAAGGCACGGCCATCAGTTAGTCTAAAATAAAGTTACAAAAGGGAGACCAACATGTCATATCTGATTCTGGAAAGCAACACTTGCAACAATCAATAACAAGAAACTAAGTCCCACGCTAAGCTAAAAGAGATATTAATTACTTTATTGGCCCACATAAGCCCACAGGCATTGCATAGAGATCTTGGACCTGCAGGTCCTCGACGCATAGCTGGAGTAGACTTCTCACTAATTCCACAATGCTGGCATCTACGTTCACTTAACAATGACAGATGCAACACAAAAATAATCATATTAGAACCAATCCATAAAAGATGAAGAATAAAAGTTATTGCATCCATCCGACTCAAACAAAAGGAATAACTTTGAAACTCACGTAGATTCTGGCCCAGGAATAGCATTGCTTGAATCCCAGTTTTCAGCATGAGATTTGTAGTCTTCCTTCAGTGATGCAAATTGTCCATTCTTACGATGCATCCTATTAAATAACCAAGTATTGTCAATCCCAAGAAAACCAGCTTATACCATCTAGAGGAAAAACAAAGCATAAACGTATTAGGGTCAAAACTAAAATTCCCATTCTTATTCTGAAAGCTAATGCTTTTACAAGATAGAAACACAATACTAAAATACCAATCACCAATGCAGACTTCAAACACCATAAATGCTTCCATAAGAAACAGGGGTACAGGCATGAGGGGGATGTTACTTGTTAAGCACAGATGTGAGCCAAGTATTCACTCAATACCAAGTCAGCTCACAATTTTTGTTTAACCAAAAATAGTCTTAACAAATAGAGTAACTACAAGTAAACTTATACTTTCTTCAACTTCTAAGGTTGTCAGAAGCTAATTTTATAAATTGAATTATTAATAGGATTTTATGAATAGAGTGAAGCCTTGCATACTCACATTATTGGCTTTGAAACTTCACTTGAAATTTTTAATTCATCTTCTTAATAAAAGGGATTCAAAATTAGTAGCCAACAATAATGTTAAGATCAAAGGAAAGATAAAAATGACCCTGAGGGGCTCATTGACATCAAAATGAACTAAATTATATGACATAAAAATCACCAGGGAGAGATAAGTGTATCTTCTAAAATAAAAAATGATAATTCAATTTAAGCACTTTTCATGGTAGAGGAGAGTAATTCACAGCAATAATAAGCATTTCTTTCTCAACACTTTATAAATGTCTGTACAGAAATTCATAATATAAAATGAAAAACTATGATACAGGAGTGTAAATAATTTTGGGAAAAAACAAAATATGTTCAGAGCTTCTACTTTCCAACTACCCT